CCTCCCCTCCACGGTCTCTCCCAGCCCAGAGGTCCTGTCCCTTCATTTCCGGCGCCCTTTCTTAAGAGTCTCCTTGCGCCCAGCTCTGGAGGGCCAGACTCCCACCACCGCTGACCACCATGGTCCCTAGTCTCCTCGATGGCCCACAGCTTCCAGACGGGACTGTTGATCTCACCACGGGGCCGTGCAGTGGCTAGCTGCACGCTGGCTGTGGCAGGAATTCCACCCGTAAATAAGAAGGACGCTGATATGAACTAGGAGCAGGCAGCGTCCCCTGCCTGGGTCGCACTGCCGGCTCCTCCTCCTCCCGCTTCTCCATTTTCTTTTAAACGCCACTCTGAGCCAGAGGCCTTCAGAAAAGGAGTTAATTAATATCTCTTGCTGGGGACTAATTCTCTTTTCAACATGTGGCTGTCACTTCCCTGTCATCATAGCTGATTTACAGCAGGGTTTAATTAAATTCTCCACGCATTATTCAGCATCTCCGCAGACAGCACCAGAGAGACAGGGGTGGGAAAAGTGTCACCTGCTGAGACATCTCCTATCTCCCTAAGTAAATATGACAGTGATCAAACTTTGGCTAATTACGGTGCCTTCGTTATTTGTTTGTATGTTTTAATATTTAACTGCTTTCATGTTCATCCAATTATAGGGCGACCTCAAATAGAAATTAACTTCTTCTTCTTTTTTTTTTTTTTAATCAGCGTGTTCCCAGCTAATAAGCACTCCAAACGCTCCCTGCGACTAGGGCTGCCTGCCCTGAAATCCAGGGGTCGGCTCAGCGAAAGAGGCGATTCAATTAAGGGAGACGCCTGCCTGCTCCCACCGGACTCCTGGCTGGCATGGGCTGCGGGCTCAGCCCCTGACGTCTGAGCTCAGGTTGGCGCGCAGCATCTACCCACCGCATGCAGGTTTTTTATTCCACGCTGCCACCCCGTGGCCGCCAGGTGCAATTACCCCAGTCTCCTCTGGGCCGTAGGATTCCTGGGAAGGACATTCCTGGGTACACTTCAACTCTCCTTCCAAGAAGCCATATGCAGAAACCCTCTCCTCCAGGTTGGATGATTTGCTTACCCGTTTCTCCTGCCCCACCCACCATCTCCTTCTGCTGTCTCACCCCCCAACCCTCCTACTGAAATATACTTCCACATCCTCTGAGCCTTATTACCCAACACCAAAGCAACTCACTACCACGGAGTCCATGCCAACTCATCTCTACCCTGTGGGACAGTCTAGAGCCGCCCCCGTGGGTTTCCAAGACTGTAACTCTTTTTTTTTTTTTTTAATCTTTTTATTGGGGGCTCGTACAACATTTTTTGTACAACTCATCACAACCCATACATACATCCTCGGTCTCAAGCACATGTGTACATTTGTTGCCATCATCATTCTTAAAACATTTTCTTTCTACTGGAGCCCTTGGTATCAGCTCCTCCTCTTTCCAGGAGTAGAAAGCCCTGCCTTTCTCCCACAGAAAAGCTGGTGGTTTCGAACTACTGGCCTTGTGGATTACAGCCCAACATGCAATCTCTACGCCACCAGGCTCCCTGCTAAATCTGACTGCACATTCCCCCATTATTGTGACCAACCCTTTGGTTTATCCAGCGGCCCTTTATTATGACTGCTCTTGCCAGTAGCACATTCCCTCTGTCTCCCCCACTTCTACCTGCCCACCTTCCTCACTTAGCCGTCTTGCTCCCTTCCACTTCATCTCCCCACCGCAGGTGTCCAGCTCCCCGGAGACCTCTCCCCTGTACCTCCAAAGAGCCAAGTGCCCCGGCACAACCCAGGCGCCCACCGCCACGAGCAGCTGCAACACGGTGCCACGGAGACCACAGTCAGGCACAGGATGCCCCAAAGAGGCAAGCCAGACAGACTCCAGCAACCGAACATCACCCGAGCTCCCCCGGCTTCCCTGAGGAAGAGACGTTCCGGGCCAGGTTCCTCCAAGAGACGTGGGCGGCACTCACGGGAACAACAGAAGAAGTGAAACATGAGCAAGGAGCCCCGATAAACAACGAGATGGCAAAGAGACGAGAGGAATCAAATGGAAGAGAAGGAGACTGGCACCAGGGTGCTCCTAGACAAGCCCCCTGACCACGGCCGGTGTCGTGGGACAGGGGACGGCAGAGCCCGAACAGTGATCAATGACTCGATCAGCACATGAAGGTTAATGAGCAAACGCTTCAGCCAGCACCCCCACCCCAACCAGCCCAGGGTGCCCCCAAGACCTTGGGTGTCCCCACTTGACACACACCAGGTCCGAACTTGGCATCTCAGAACCTCCGCAGGGTTTTCTACATGAAAAACGAAGTCCGATGGAGCCTCGTCCCGCCCTTTCTAGAGAATACGAGCCATTCTGAATGCGGCGAGGATGGCCTGCCTCCAGCCTCACCCCACAGCCTGGTAGGATGCGGGCTTACAATGTTCCACTTTCCCAAAATAAACTAACCTTCCGTGGACTTCACTCTGATCTCGCTGGCTCACCCATAAGCTCCTTAGGGGAGCAGCCCGGAAATGAGCAGGGACCTCGTGGCTAAGAGAATAAAAAGGTCACTGGCCCTCCACGCGCTGATGGGCCTTCCAGGGGCTTCAGGTCGAGCAGGGGCCCCAAGGTGCCCCGTCCATTCATTGAGCAAATGGTTACTTCACACTCAGCACCGGAATCGGTGTCCAATTCCCAGTCATGGTGCCCCCACAGGTCCCAGAGGAGAACTACCCCGAGTCTCCTGACAGACTGCTGAGCCTTGCTTCCACAGCAGCCCCCACCAGGACACCCACAATCTCACACACATGCCTGCTCATGTATGTGCACACAGCACACCACAGCACCTAGACATTTGAACACACACCCACAATCTCACACACATGCCTGCTCACGTATGTGCACACAGCACACCACAGCACCTAGACATTTGAACACACACCCACAATCTCACACACACGCCTGCTCACGTATGTACACACAGCACACCACAGCACCTAGACATTTGAACACACACCCACACGCCTGCTCACGTATGTACATACAGCACACCACAGCACCTAGACATTTGAACACACACCCACAATCTACACACACACGCCTGCTCATGTATGTACACACAGCACATACTCCCGCTCATGCATAATCTCACTCATATACACACAAGGAATTCATGTGCATATTTGTACATACATATTCACACACTCACTGACATACACACAATCTTACCATGCACACACACTACACACACATTTTCACATGCATACTCACACACTTGCACACACACTCATACACAGATACACAAGCTCTCCCACATACAAACTCACAGACACAGACTTCCACACACTCTCACACACATATGCACATACATAAAGATATATGCACACACAATACGTCTACACAAACGCACGTGCACATAAATTCAACACATATACACCCTCACACACATACATAGTCATACACACAAGCTCATGCACAGATATATAGACACACAAATATACAAACATACATACTCACAGTACACAAACAATCTCACACACACACACATACAAACACATACACACATGTGCACACAATCTCACACATGACTACAGATTCACGCTCACACAATTTCGCATGCATATACACACAGACACACTCACACAGCCACACACGTCACTCGGTCCCTGGGGTGCTGGCCGCTGGCAGGGAGCCCACTCAGGGCAGTGGGAGGAGCAGGGTGGGGCTGGGTTCCCGTGGTCTGCGGCGCCTGTGTCCGCTGGCTGGAGGGTCCCGTAGGAGCCGTGTGCTGAAGGAAGAACCAGAGCTTTTTTTTTTTCAATTAACAAAGCAGAGGCGGCCTTTGGAAAATGTTTCCTGGGGGGCCAGCAATTATACAAATGAACCAACCCCAGAAAGAGAGCAGCTAATTGGCCCCAGCAGGCCAGCCCTAGTGAGGGGTCAGCACCTGTGTGCACATCTCCAGCGGGGGTCCCCGAGGCCAGCGCTGGCTGTCAGACCCACTCTCTTCAGATCCCCAGATGTCCAGCTCACGTCACATTGCGGCCTCGGCCCTCGGCCCTCTCACACTAATTCCCCCTGACAGGCCGGTCCTCAGGGACACAGACAGAGCACCCGGCTGTGGCCTCACCCAGGACAGCTGACAGCCAGGACAGTGGGCGGTGGGCGGGAACACAGCAAGAGGACCGAGTCGGGGGAGGCCTTGGACAGCAGAGGGTCTGAAGGAAAACCCGCACACTGGTGGACACAGGGGAGAGAGGCTTTGGAGAGTGAGGAAGAAGTAAGAGCCAGCCTGGCACCCGAGAGGAGCTGCCCCCTGAGCAGGTGGGCCTGGACAAGCAGCCCAAGGCATGGAGACCTGTGGCAGGCAGCGTGGGCAGCATGGAATGGGCGCGTGAGGTCAGGCTGCCAGGAAGACATGTGTGCTCTTTCCAGGAGAAAAAAAATCAAGCTGTCTGCCCTGGAGTCGATGCCGGCTGAGAGCGACCCTGCAGGACAGGACAGAACTGCCCCTGTGCGTTGTGAGCCAGTCACTCTTTGAGGGAGCAGACAGCCTCTTATTCCTCCCACGGCCAGCTGATGGGCTCAAACTGCTGACCTTGTGTTTAGCAGCCTAATGCTTAACCCACTACACCACCAGGGCTCCTTTCCAAGCCGCCTCCGGGTCCTGTCCCGAGTGGAGGCTCTGTTAGGTCATCGCTGCTGTTGGATGCCATTGCGCCAGTGAGACCCCGAGTGACCCCATGCACAACAGAAGGAGGTGCTGCCCGGCCCTGCACCCTCCTCCCCATCGTTCCTGTGCTCGAGCCCATGGGTGCAGCCACGGGGTCCATCCATCTCCTGAGGCTCCTCCTTGTGGTCACCGCCCCTCTACTCTACCACATGGGGTCCCCTGACAGCATGTCCACAGCGCCTGAGACTAAGTCCCCCCTTCCTCGCCTTCCACGAGCACTCTGGCCGGGCTTTGTCCACGACGGACGTTTGTCCTGCTGACAGCCGGGCACTTGCAGTACCCTCCTCCCGGTCTGGCCTTCACATGCGCGTGAGGTGGTTGAAAGTACCAGGGCTGGGTATTAGGTCAGGGGGTCTCAGCCTGCGGGGGCGCACCCCTTTGGGGGTCGAACGACCCTTGCACAGGGGTTGCCCGATTCATACAGTGGCAAAATGACAGTGATGAAGCAGCAATGAAAATAATGTTATGGTGGGGGGGGGTCGCATGAGAACTGTATGAAACGGCTGTGGCCTGAGGAAGGTGGAGAATCACTGTGTCAGGTACTTGTATTAGACAAGGTTCTCTAGAGAAGCAAACCAGGACACGTATGATATATGTGTGTGTGTGTATATATGTGTGTGTATGTATATATGGGTGTGTCTATATACGTATGTATATACGCACACACAAATATGTGTATATATACACACAGAGATATGTATATACATGTGGATACGTTTAGAAACAAAAAGGAGTATAACAGCAAATTAGTGCACACAGCAGTATGGAGGGCTCAGTCCAACTCACTTTTGTGGGCCGGTGGATGTACGGAAGGTTCTTCACACGGCCGCTAGCCCAAGGCCAAGGCAGCAGAGCGGAGGCAAGGAGGCGGTGAGGTAGCAGCGGCCAGTAGCACGGCAGGAGAAGCAGTGGCGGTGGAGCCTTGGGGCACTGATGTGAAGTGGCTGGAGGTGTGGCGTCTGGAGTGGTGGCAGCATGAGCGGGGTGGTGTCTCGGTGTGGAACAGCACGGCACAGCGACGTGGCCCACAGTCCACGGGTGGGCTCTCGGGGGGAGCAGACACCGCATGGCACGCAGGTAGCACAGCACATGCGCGATGAGGCAGAGCGCTGCTCCGACCACCAGGGGGAGAGAGGGGTCCGGCCTCCAGAGCCATTTATCTCCATCGGACCTCCAAAGTGGGTCATCCAAGCTGCGACCTGATCGGCAGGCAGGCTAACCTCCACCCATATTTTCTTACAGGTGCCATGTTCACACGCGCACACATGCACACACACAACACCTAACCATCACAGTGCTCATCAGTATTTTCATCTCAGGAGGTTACATTAAATGCCATTTTACTTCATTGTGTTTCCCTAAAGTGGTCCCAGCTGTTTACCTGGCCCCAGGTGCTGGCCCCTGGAAAAGTGGATGGGAGGGCCCTCTCTGTGAGCTTGGGCAGGTCTCGGAGGCGGGCATGACAAGGAGGGGGCAGCAGAAGCAGGTGGCATAAAAGTGAGAAGCTTTGTTGGACCCCGCTCTCTCTTCTTGGGAAGCTCACCCTTGGAACCAAGGTGCCATGGTCGTGAGGAAGCCCAAGCCAACAGAGAGGTGGCACAGGCATCCTGGCCAGCCGCCCGGCCTGGTAGCGATGCTACAGGACAGAGTAGAGCTGCTTCTTTGAGTTTCCAAAGGTCTAGACCAGGGGTCCTCAACTATGGCCCGTGGGCCACATGCGGCCCGCCAAGGACATTTATCCGGCCCCCAGGTGTTTTTGGCCCGTTTGGTTTTTTTTACTTCAAAATAAGATATGTGCAGTGTGCATAGGAATTTGTTCATATTTTTTTTTTTTTTTTAACTATAGTCCGGCCCTTCAACGGGTCTGAGGGACAGTGAACTGGCCCCTTGTTTAAAAAGTTTGAGGACCCCTGTTAGACCTTTATGGGAGCAGCACCACCTCACCTTTCTCCCATGGAAGGACTGGTGGGTTCGAACTGTTGACCTCACCGTTAGCAGTTCATGGGCAACCCCCTCAGAGCTCCAGGTCCCAAACACCAGCCCTGCACGTGAACACACTTCCAGGTGGCCACAGCCCCAGCTACCGTCAGTAAGGCAAGTCCCCTGGCTCTTTGCGTAAGCCCAAAGGCAGAACTGTTTCTCACGGACCTTTGCTGAAACACATCCCACCTGAGGTGAGCAGCTCTTGTCCCAGGTTTGCCCCAGGTTTGTCAAGTGCAGGCACCCTGCTGGTTGAACGTTTGGAAAAATTCAAATGGCCTCTGAACTTGTGTCAAAACTCAATGGAGTGAGGCTCCCACAGTCGGCCAGTGCCTTTCATCATGGATGCTCCACTATCGCTCCTCTCCCCTCTCCCAGGTGAGGGAGCAGTGTGCAGACCATGAAGCTATGGGGTGGGACACCCCCCCCACCCGACTCCCCCACCCCACCCTGAACAACACCCCTCCAGCATGCCAGCAAAGGTGAACCCTGCAGGGGGCCCGGGAGAGCCTCCCACTGTCACCACACCCAGAGAGCAGGTGGCTTGGAGAAACTCCAAGTTGATTGCTGCAAGCGCTGGCGGGAGAAGAACAGCCGGGTTTCCCCGGGTGTGGAGCTGTTTCCGAGTTCCGTCCTGACCCCACAAGTGAACACAGACGCAGGGTTGTGTGTTGACAATGCTTATGGCAGGAGACGAACAGGGTCTACGATGTGATGTCACGAGAGGCAAGGGGCGCCCTAAGAAGGCAGGCTCACAGCGATCT